TTGAGTAGGCAAGAAATACTTGCCCTTGAAACATTTCCAGTTTATAACTCCATCAACCCTGAACTAGGAGAACGCTAGGATATCAAATGATTTTCCAAAACCACCTGAAAAGCAGCCAGAGACGCTCCAGGGTTTATTTTTTTTCTTAAAGAGCTTAATATCTACTCTACACCAAAAGTACATTGCTTCTAGCCTCAACAGGGAGTTCTCTGCCAAGACTGCAGGATAGTAAAAAAAAGTCCAGAACACAGAATATTACACTCAATTAATTACACGCTTAATTGCTCTCTTCTTTTAACAGCCTAATGAATAGAGCAAGTTTCAGTTTCAGTATGTGTATGTAGCCCAAAGTTTCAAGCCCAATAAAGGAGACGGGACTGATTTGAAATGTCTGTGCTAAGAGCTGATATGTTCATGTAACCAGCAGTAAACAACCTGAATAAATAACACCTATGCCCCTTGCTTTCCACCCAGAGCATCCAGGAGCTACCATGTAGGGGGTTTTCTGTATAACCTGAAAAGAGAACATTATATGTCATGGAAGCTGACAGCCTCAATTAAACTTAAGGGAATCTGGTTCATCTGAGATCACAGGCCAGCGGACCACCATGTGTCAATGGAGCTTCTTCCTCTCTTCACTTCTTTGGCCAGGACCTGGTTGCACTATTGACTCAACTTACGTTTCTGAGTCAGTAGTCTGAAAAGTATCCCAAGGCACACACAACTTTCATTTCAACCTTCCCGAGGCACACATCAAAGTGATATACCAGGAAGCCAGCTGGCAAGAAGCAAGTTCCAAATGTTTGCATAAACTGCAAGTTAACTATTAAACTATTGGCGAACAGCCCAATTCCAGTCAGAGGCACTTGCCCTCATTAAAGCCCAACAAAATAAAACAAAAACAAAGTCTCTAAGCTAAGCCACTCAAGATGTTACCTATGTAAAACAAACATTTCATTTTAACGGTCAGATTCAGTTTGGCTTTTACTCACTCTCCGCACTGAGTACCTGCAGAAGGCATCTTCTTGCCATTTAAAACCAAACCTGCCTGTCCTTTCTAGTAAACCAAAAATCGCCTGCTTTTCCCTCTACTAACAGCTTTACACACAAAAGAAACAACTGTGATGAATTTTTTTTTTTTAAAGAAAAGCATAGTTCTCTCAGACATTCCTAGTCTCAAATGCCATACCTATCTTGCTGAAAATTCTGCAGGAAAAGCTGAAGCATGCCATTTCATTTACAGACAATATTATGATACCCGTTGTCAACTCTTTTATAATCCTGAAGTTCAAGAGACAGTCATTTTTTGGTTTTGTGATGGAAATTTAGCTTTGGCATTAACAATGGAGAGAATGGGCACATGTACACAGATAACTCAGTCAGACATGAGCTCAGTCAGATCGTACTCCAAGCTGGCCGGACATGAGCCAGCTCTAGTTCACAAGTCATGTAGCTGTGTTAGCACAGCGCTGTGCCCACACTAATAAAACCTGCTGAGAGGCAGGGTATATTGGGCTGGACACAGTCCTACACTGTCTGGCCAACTTCAATCAAGGACAGAGGATGCTGGGTCTGTCTGCACCCATCTGCATACATACGCACTCCTGCTCTGTAAGACTTTTGTGCATCTCTTCTTCTGAAGATTTTTTTTTTCTTATTTTGTAACCTAGAAGGGCTAGAGCACAGCACCATACATTTGAGATTTTAACTATCCTCCTTGACCATAACCATGGTAACTCCTTGTAGCTGTTCCAATGACGACTTAAAAAAAAGAGAATAATTACTGGCACTACAGGGCAATGAGGGGCTAGGGCAATCGAATGGATTCTGTTTATACAAAAGTACTTCCGTGAGTTCTGAAACACAGCTGTCATTTACAGTAGTAGCATTTCCCTCAGGCATTTATTCTGTTGTGGAATTCAAGAATTAGAACTCAGTTCTTGTCAACATCTCAAAAACAGAGGACACATTTTAAGTAGTATTCGCATCTATCTCAAAGTAAACAAACAAATAGAAAATTAAGCTAGTCATTGGAAAAAATGGTGAAGCCTAGTTCTTAGAAAAAGCCAGAAAACTATACTAAGAAAAGAGATCACTTAATACAGCAAATCACTAGATCTTAAAGTTTTGCTCCAAAGACACATGCAACTAAACTCATCTTTGCCTGTGCAAGGAAATTACTCAGTGTTCCAAGGATGGAAAAAACCCCATGTCTTAATAATCTACTGACATAGAAACCAAAGGACAGGTGTGCATCTCAGCTCAAATAACTAGCCCAAAAGATCAAGGAATAAAACTGTAACATGAACACGTTAATAACATTGAGTTTTCCTTAATAACAAATGCCCTGGAGCAGCTTAAGGCTGACACAACTTCTCCATTTTATATTTTCTTCTTTTAAAAAGGAGATTAAAAAAAAAACCGAAACAGCCAACCAAAGCAGATTTATTGAGCTACATACTTGATTTTTAGGAAATGCAGTAAAACCCCCTTCAATTACACAATACTATCTGTGACAGCCCTTTTAGTCTTGCCTGTGAAAAGGCAGACGGTAAAAAAGCCAGTTACTAGAATGTGAGACTTGTCTCTATTTCAAAATAACTTCTCTCTACTTTTAACTTTTCTGTTGTCTAAAATAAGCATTCTATGTTTTGAAATTAACTATAGATTGTTGACTACAAAAAAATCATGCCAGTATTTAAGACGCCTTTCTTCAGCAGCCTTCAAACTCAAAGCCATTGACGCAAACTGGAGTTTAGCTTATTCAGAAAGCAAATTTAGTCTGGGCAGTACCCTTTGAATCAAATTTTAAATTTTCTTATATACAACAGTATTTCAAAAATAGAACTCATATTCAAATTTATGCTTTAACATTCAGCATTTGGGTCCATTTGTATACTCGTGTCACTGTGAAGGTAAAACCCATAAAAAGGTATGAGCCAAACAAGTTCAGGCAGACTCAGGCAATAATCAGAGGACAGTGAAAAAGAAAGATGGTTTAGGAAAGATTTGTGTTAATCTTCTTCGGAATAGCCTGCACGCTGCAAAAATACTAGATAGTATTAGTCAATATTTAGGTTTGCAATTAATGTCTGTTAATTATGATCTAAGATCTAATACAGAATGCTTATATTTCTTAGCTAAAAATTACTTCTCTGACTTCAGAAACATGAATTCAGTATTCACACAGAATTCTACAAGAGTGGGATTTTTGAGAAAGTAAAAAATAAGTATTTTTCATTTTGCTTTACAGTATGTGCAAGAATACTCAATACTGGCAAGAACAAGTTCTAACAAACATTCATTGCTGGTGACAATCAAGAGAATGAAATAATTTTTTGGCTAAGTGGCAATGTTGGATATGCACCTCTAATGTGCTATAGCTGCAAAGATCATATATCATGCACACCTGCATAAAAAAATCTCAGTGCACAATTTTCAGAGAGAAGCTGAACCTTGCCTACCCTCAGTGACAGAAGGAATGCTTTTTTCCATCTGAATTACTTAAATTGAATAACTAGTCCATTCAAGTTTTAAAAACTCATCAGACACTGAAAGTATGGAGTTTGCCTTCCCCAATCCATTAATTAAAACGACAATAGATTAAAAAAAACGCTTGGAGAGCTACTCTCTAAACCTTACAAAGGACAAGGTAAATAGAAACAAAGTGTTCAGCTTCTAACTACAGCTAATACTTTGCCTTAAATATAAAAATTTTTAATGTCCCCCCGCCAAAGCACAGAGCAGCTCCAGTTAACAAAATGTTAAGTTGGTTAAAGCTGAATTAGAGAAATAGGTAATTTACATCCAAAGAACAACCTGACATAAATGACACACAAAGAACTCATGTATAAAATTTTACCTTTCTGTAAATGCAAAAATCTAATATTACAAGTAAATATAACCAGACTATAGAATTGTTTAGTGGGGTATACTGTTGTGTTCAGACATGTACATACAACAGGTATATAGTGTCTATTCCACAAAGAAAAATGTAAACTGATTAATCTCTGTCTTAAATGTAATCAAGATCATACTGGGGGTGGGCAGGGAACCCAGAAATAAACTGAAGAAATTAAATTAAAATTAAATTGATTATCTGAATGAAGACTTCTTGGCTGACTTAAAAAAAAACAGTTAAAATACATTTCAAAATTAAAAAATTTTATAGTTTTCCCAGAATGCAAATAAAATTACTTAAGAAGAGGTGTATGTATTTTTAGATTCTGGTCAGCTATTCTGCATATATCCTACTATTTATCTCCCAACAGGCCAAAAAAACCGTAGTGAATGCACTGTAGAATCAAAAACAAGAGGGAAATGCAGGCATAGCTTTCGGTACCATTCCCTAACAGCAGAAGGCTTGCTGTTAAAGTCTCCCTAAAGTCAACCTGCAGAGATATAACATACAGTTAACCTACGGTCAAGCCGTTCAAGTGAAGAGCTTCTCAAGAGTAAAGCTGCAGTTCAAGTAGGGCGTTGAGCAGAAGCTACTGCCAAGAGCTGTACCTGAAGCCATCGAGCAGAAGCTATTGCTAAGAGCCATACCTGAAGCCACACAATAACATTTCTTTGTCAGAACATTTACTGCCATGACTAGTCACTCTATACCACATATTAAAGACAGTAATGAAACATTTTACAGCAGAATTATTATCTTGAAAGTCAGCTATATAGTCCCTACCTAAGAATTTTTTTCTGATCAGCTTTTTTTTTTTTTTTTTATAAAACCCTACTTTTTCTGGCAAAGCTCCACTTGAATTTCCTACTGCCACAAGCCAGTTTTAAAACTGGTAGGAAAAGGCAAAGTACAAGCTGTTTTTTTAGTAATTCAGTATGTTACATTAATCAATTATGGTTAGCTTAAATTTACTTTATCATGAAAAGTCAGAGAATGAAGACGTGAATTTGCAGAAGTAATTTTCCAACATAAATACCTGAATGGCACCAAACAACTGAGTTTTAAAAGAGCAATATCAGCAACAATTTGTATTACTTACTGGTATATAATAGATATTCATTTTAGGGGCTTCATTGGCAGTCATTAACATTCCTAAAAAGAGATTTCCACATTTAAAAATATTGGTCACAAGAGGATAACAGTACATTTAGAAAAAAAAAATACATATATACACTTGAGGCATTTAATTCACATGAAGTAGGTTTGTACATAGGACTTAAAATATCTTTCCAGGAAAAGAAATGGAAAAAATGGAACATTTGCTAGCATCACAAAAAAAAAGAAAAAGAAAATACATATTTACACTGGAAAGAGGGGTGAAAGCACGTTATCTGTAGCTCACACAGTACATATTCTTGGCCTGCAATGGAACAGCTAACTGGGATGCATAATAAACTGTTGTGTCAAATGCTAAGGGAAGAAAGGTCTGATGAAGCATCATTAATTGCGCTGCTATTTCCTACATATTCATCCCCTTTTGTCCTCTATCTTAACAACTGTTCAGCACCACTTCAAGCAACACTAAGTCCTGACAACTGCAGGCTGCCAATCTTCCTAACAAATTGAAATAGTTCCACTCGTAATACTGTTTAGAACAAACCCAGTTAGTTGTACTTAAAACCTACCTTGGGCATAAACTTGTATTACTAATACAAGGGGGGGTTGGTTTTTTGTTTTGCTTTGGTTTTAAACACACACCTACAGCCTAAACAAAGTCATAAATCATAACATGCTTTACAACTTTATTCATATTTCATCTTGGGAAATCAGTGCAACAGTAGCTTGTCAACACAAAATGAGAAACAGGATACTGTGGCTTCAAATGCAGGAATTAGTGATATTAGCCAACCAGGGCAAATGTAAAATTTGAAATACCTGTACTCTAAATATAAAAAAATTACTATAGAAATATTAAAATCCATGGAAAATCTCCAACTGCCACAAGACTTTATTTAAGTTCAAAATGAGAAGTACTCTCAATTTCCTTCTCCAGTAAGGACATTTGGTGTAGACTTTTACATTTATCTCAATTTTGTCTTTCTAACGTAGCTGGATCACCAGGTAATACAAGAGATGGAATATGAAGAAGAAAAGAGCAATCAAGTTAGATAACGTTCTGATCTAAAAGTACTGTAACATATGCCACTGAGACTATGAATAATTGGGTCAATTACTACACACCCAGAGGGTAGAAATATAATTTACACCCAACTAGAGGAACGCAATTAACATGGGTGGAGTAATCCTTCCCACCTAATCCTTTCATTAAAAATACACAATGCAGCTGGACTTAAAATGTCAGAAAAAAGGGGGCTTGCTTTCCTGGCAAAGCAAGGAATCTGTGAAGGCTTAGTCAGCAAGCGGAGGCTAAAATCTTTACCTGGAAAGGTTTGCAGGCAATTTAAGGAAAAAGCAAGAATTTATAGTATATATGCATAAACAATGTACTATATGTATATAATATAGTATATAGATTACATGGTCCCTTAACATATCAGCATGCTCACTACTATTTCAGGAGACGAAGCATTTCTCCGGTGATTGAGTATGAATCACTAGAGATAAAAGGATAGAAATTAATTCTGCAGGTGCTTCAAAGATGACAGTAAAAGGAAAACCTCCTCTTTGAGAGTCTTCCACCAACAATTAAAGGAGGGAAAAACAGACTTTGAAACAGTACATGGGCGTATACTACAGGGGAAATAAAAGAATAAAAAAAAGGAACAACTCTGTGAAAGGAGAAGTCTACTCCATGCATTTTCATTGTTTCAGCTTGTTGGTTTTAACCAATTTTTATGGGAAGAGAGACCACACCCTAACAAACTACACAGCAGACCAGTCTGATCACTTTAAAAGGGAAATAAATGAGAACTCTTTTTTCAGAGAAAAGGTTTTAATGAGCCCATTTTTGAAAAGGGGTCTACAATACAGTATCCTCAATTTAAAGAAATGAAAACACAAGTACGAAGTGGTAGTAAATGGGAGAAGCAGGTTTAGAAACAGCAAATTTTTTACTTTTAAAAAATATTTTACAATAATTAAAACAGATGAGGCACAAATTTGAATACACTAAAGATGCTGTTAAGTTTCATTTATGGTGTACAACTTCACTGAAGCTGAGTCAAGGCTACTCAGTAAGTGGCAAAACTTTTTTCCCCTAGCCCCATTCTGTGAACATGTGACCAGAGAAAAGAGATTCATAACTAGTTTAAGAGATCCACTGAAGTTTGTCATCATGTAGTTTGGTCAAAGATACACAAGGGTTTGCTTCCCATGAAAGGCAGCAGTACTGAAGCTGGTTGGTAAACTAATTTAATTAAAAAAAACTGCAACTACAACTAAACTCCCACAAAACTGTTGCAAAAGAAGAATTCACATTATAGTGATTCACAGTTCACCATAAATATTTCAGAATGTTTTAGGTTACTTTTCCAGTGTAGTTTCACTTTTCCAATTTTTTTTACCTTTTTTATAATTGTGACAATACAGTGTTAAAACTATTTCATTACTGCTCATGCAGCAGACATTTTGATGTAAAAGAGGGCTGCAACAAATACAAAGTATTAGCTACCTTCTGTGGTTTTGAAACAAAACTTGATTATTACAACCACTGTAATAAAATTACAAATATAAACCGGAAAAATAAAATGTCTAGACATACTAGACAACAGTTTTCCCCAAACAAAAGCATTCCACATGTACATTCAATGACTTCTGATTCATGACATTTCTGAAATTGTTCTCTTCAGTTTGAAACAAAACATGAGCATGTAAGTGTATGAAACAAATTCTGAATTTTGACCCACAAATATGAAAGCTTCTCCTTCCATGCAATGATGAACTGCAAAGCTGTTTCAAGCAACTACAGGAGCATAAAGGGGAGATTAGGATATGGGCGTTCTGAGCAGCAGTGTCACACGAACAAGTTAGGCAAATATCTCTTGGGCTTCCTGTGTCATGCTGGCCTCACAAACATCCAGGGGTGCTCTGAGAATGCTGGGGCACCAGTGACAGCACTGAGCCATAGCCATACTGGTACTGAAATTATGCTGTATTTCCAGCTCTCCACAACTGCAAGTTCCTATCACTGAAAGTATTTCCTTATTTTCAGATGTTCAAACATAATTATTATTTAAATTCTGAAAGAGGGTGCAAGGCAGCTTAAATTCTGTAGCAACAGTATTTATGACAAACATGGAATGCACCAGCTCTTACCTTAAGTCTCTTAATTTTCACTGCAACATGTTCTAGTTTTTCCCCCCCTCTGTCTTCCATATGATTATAAAACACAATCTAGTTTTCATCCTGCAACAGTTCTTACCAAAAGACATCAACCTGCTCCCCTAGCAGACATGGTCGATGAAAGAACAGTAAGAAAAGCTGAACTGACTTAAGGAGGAGACGCAGGCCACGGGACTGGAATGTACAATCTAGATCACAGACATTTGAAAAAGCAAGGTCCAATAAGCAACATTAGGGAGATACATGAATTCAATTTTTTGTGCTACAAAATTCTTCCTGCAGAGTCTTATGAAAATAATTTCTGCAAAAGCACTTGAGGCTTGTCTATATACCACAGAGGCTACAGTGTCCATAGCTGAGTAACATCCATCCCTGCAGATACTCAAACTTGACTGGTTATGACCTGAGCAACTTGATCAGATTTTGAAGTTGGATCTAACTTCAAGTTTGGCCTTGCTTTGAGCAGGAAATATACAACCCCCAGAGGTCCCTTCCAACCTAAAGTATGCTAAGATTTGACATTGTCAGATAACTAACTTCTGTTTCACTCCCTGTCATGTGCCTTTCATTGTCAATGCTGCATAGATGTTCAGTTCACTCCTAGGTTGTCTTTTGGATAAAACCAATAAGCTCAAAGGTGAAGCCTGGATGAAATGCTGAAGATAATACACCCCAATGACCTCTCTCTGTAGTCACTACGGATGAGAGAAGACCAGGTTTGTCTACCTCATGTTGCACAGTCCATATTTTTAACCACATGGCTATTCTCAAACCCATGAAAAGAAACCCATACATATAACCAGGGCACATGACATGTACCCTCAGTGCCATGCCATAAAGTCCCTGATTTGGCAGGCTTCAATTCTTTGCTTGCATTATTTCTGGCACTTTGCTCTGGGAAAAACAAATATACCGAACACAAATTAAAATGGTATTGATGCTGTTTTGAGGGCTCAGAAAAACCTAACCAAATTCCTAAGTTCCCAATTCCAAACACCAGTCTGTTTCAGAGGGGACTAAACTCAAGGAGCATGGAAGCAAGTTAATATACTCATCAGCAAGGTCCTGCAGCCCATTACAGTTTTGCTGCTGCATAAGGTCAAAAATGCCCACCATCTCAGTGGGGATCAGTATTTAAGTGCTCATCTTACAATTAAAAAAAAAAAAAGGACACATTCTTAACTGAAGTTGGCAGAAAAGACAAGATAAGTTTTAACTTGTTAGAAATCTCAAACTCACTTATCTAGAATCTTGAATTTGAGCTGCTAGTATAAATCAAAGTCCAAGTTGCTCTGTCTTCACTGCTACCTCTCTCTAAGATGAAGATAATAGCAGAGTTTGCAACATAGGCATTCTCTGGATCAAGAATTTTGTCCTGTGCCATCCTAGTGCCACTAATTTTTATTTCATCTTTTTCAGTACTGCTTTCTAAAAAGGAAGTAGATATCACATACTAGTTAAGCAACTCAGATCAAGCAGGAAAAATTAAGGCCATTTGCAATTTGAGGTACAACCAAAGCACATGTAATCACCGTTTCGTAAAATATTTTTACTCTTAGGTAGGATCTAGAAACTTTGGTTAAAAGTGATCCCCAGGTTTTGACCTCTAAACATAACATTATGAGACACAGCAAATCTGAAAAGAGTCACAAAAAGCATGCAAATCTGTGCACTTAGGATTCTACACCTAGAACCAAAGTATTCAATCTCAGGCAGGGCACAGTAAGTGCCGTATCTAAAATGAGGAAAGATCAAGTAGTTGTAAACACTTGTAAAAATTTGTAAACTTGTAAAGATATTTTTCCTAGTTCTAGAAAGCAAGCTCTAACTCATCTGGGACTTAGCTGAGACAAAAGGCCAAAATTCCTATTCTTATGAAATGAAGCACCTCAGACATTTGAAAGGGCAAGAGGTGAATCACTCTGTAGACAGCACAGCAGCTCCTCACTGCAAAGAGGCTCCAATTTAATACAGATGTAGAGGAAATAATGACACTAACTGACAACTAACCATTTTTTCCTAGCTCTATCATAAGGAGGAAAGCAGACCTAATTCGCATCACCTAAACAGAAAAAAAGACCACGGCTTGGGTTAACACAGGCTTTCCCTTTTGAACTTACTAGAACATTATTATATCTAATGTACCTGAATTTGGATACAGGCAGACATCATTGATATCATTTTCTGGCTCCATTGAAGTAAATATCTTCCCCTGAAATTGTAGGAAGAAAATATATTATAAAGAACTGCAAACAGTGTAATTAAATTTAATAAATCTAAACATTAAGAATAGCCATTACAGAAGCTAAGAAATATGATGGAGTAAAGATGGAACATATTTTGAAGAATAATAAAATGTTATTAAAGTGTCCAAACATAACACGAGAAACACAATATTGTATTTATTCTCTGATCAGATCTCTTAGAAGGAAGTGTAGCCTACTGGTTATTGAAGACACGGCAATGTACAGTGGCACTTTAATTTCTCAGCTCACACTTCTGTGTTGAAGAAACATCTGTCAGATCTGCTTTCTTTTATTTTATGCAACGGGGCAATGTGCGTGTATTTTGGGGGGGGGGGGGGGGGGGGGTGTGAGGTCTGTAAGTTCCTGGCACATTGCCACTGTAACCCTCCTTTTGCTCAAGCCTGCATGCGGCAGTGTTAAATCATTTTAGTTTGGTAAGTATCATTAGCTGAAATGATGGATTGGAGTGGAATTTGATTACAGACCTTGGTTCCGCCACCCTGCTCATGTCTACATAAAATGAAATATAGCTCAGCACTTTATCTGTAATTTATAAAGTCAGTATTAAAGAGGTCTAAACATAAAATAAGAGTAGTAAAAGCACCCAGCGCTATCTAGCTTAGATCAGAATTGAAGTTATAAAGGCTATTTAATAAAAAGGTAAAAGCAGGAAACAACATTCTGAAAAAAAATAAGAATTGGAACAGAGTCTGAAAAACCCAGACAAAATACAGGTGCTCTTATAAGCCAACACACAAGACAGCCAGTAAAGGAAGAGTCTAAGAACTGGGCCACAGAACCTGAAGCGTGAGAGTACATGCCTACACGGTTCTAAATGAGGGACAGGAACAGAGCAAATGTTGATGCTATTCCTCTTTCTTTGTTCCCTGCAGCAATCCCACCTACCTTTCTGGGCCCTTCCTTTCCCTCCCAGTTACACGCTGTTACCCCACCCACCTCTGGTCTCTCCCCGATGATTAATAAGAGTCCTCCCCCACGCCGGTCTCAGCAGACAAAAGCTTCATCCTCCCCACCCCAAGGCACGTCTCAGCATGGGGCTATTCTGGTATCAAAGCCATATGCTCTCCACCCCGCAGTCTGCCTCTGCAGTTGGTTCCCAGCCAGAGATAGTCAGGAACCAACATCTGGGAGAGGTGGAGCCAGCTGGAACATACTCTAGGAAAAAGTCCAAAGCTATCTCTGCCTTCCAGCAGTAAGAAACCCTCCCTTTTCCCACTGCAGAGGCCACCTGACAAACCTTACAGCGTCTCATTCTCAACGAGGGAAATATATATACCTAGGAAAAATGGAGAGACGCCACTGCAGATGTTTTAAATAATAACCAATAATTTATTTGCTCTTTTAAACAATAAAAAGTAACTGCAAGAGGAGCTTACAAAAAAACTGCTTGCGATCACAGAAAAAAATAAGAGAGGCTGTTGAAAGTTCATGAAGAAGCACAACAATAGAGAAATGACTGCCTGAAACTGTCAGAAAAAAGTGCCTCTGAACTAACTGCTCTTGATATGTTTCATAATGAAGGTAGAAAAGCATAGATGGAGCATGTTTTTTAGAAGGAATACAATGAATAAAGATAGCCCCTCAAACCAAACCAGGCTACAATAGTATTACTATGAATCTACGGGGTAACATATTTTGCGCAAGCTGCCTTGACAGAAAAAGAACAGCTTAATATACTGAAAGAAAGTCTTATGAAACTTAGAGATTCCAACCTCCCTTAGAGGTGCTAGAGGTAGGGATAGAGATGCTGCCTATTGCAACATCACACAGTATAGTACTCTCTGTTATTTGGATCTAGGCGTAGTATCTGCTTCAATATCCAAACAGGTTTTTGTGAAAATAAATAGTACTGATTATAAACTAAGTGTTCTACCTTTGAAGATAGCCCTTCTTTGAGCAGGGAATTGGAATGACCATATTTTCTCTGATGAAATATCGTAACTGGATGTGTTCAAGCACACTGTGAGAAATACACACACCAGTGCAATGGCTAAAATACTGCTTTTTATGTTTAAATCCTTCTACTGAAAGAAGCATCTTAGATAGACATGTACAAACAGCTAAAAAAAAAAATACCTAAGACTATATCTTTATACCCGACAGTCTGTTGAATACTTTCCTATATGGTGGCTTACTTAGTCAGACAGGACAAAATGTGTAAATTAGGACACATTAAAATCCCAACTTCCTACACTGAATTTCAGCTTTATTAATAAAGCTGCATTAAAAAAAAATTAAAAGAAAAATTAAAAAAATCTGAAGTCATCAACATAAAACCACTTACCGTATCTTTGTTCCACATTTTTATGATTCGAGAATCTGCAGAGATAATTAAATCCAACTGATGCTGAAACTGAATTGACTTAATAGGCAGGCCATAATGGTGATCTTTGAGTATTAATGGATTACTAGACCGGAGATCATACAATAAAACCTTGAAGAATAAGAGACAGATTAAACTTGCAATATTGTAAGATGAAGAGGAAGTCACACACACCAGACCTTCACTAAAGATTTAACTAAACTTGAGACTTTCTTTACTTCAATACATGGACAGGATTTATGTAAAAGGAGTAATTTTAAATTCTGAAAACAGCTTATTAAGTGAGCCCAGTTTATTCCGACACTGTATTTTAAGCTCAGAATGCTTCAGTCTAGAAAAATTAAAAGCAGATTTAAAAGCTCACCATCTTTCTGAAGTCTTCTTAATTTCTATTGAAAAAATGAACTGTTTTCAAGGCTGTTAGTATTTCTTAATTACTAATATTTCACTTTCAGATTCTTGTGCTGTTCTTACAAGATTTAAATTTCAGACTCCTTTCCACATTCAGTGAGTGTCACTTTCACTCTGTGAATCACCACAGAATGTATTTTTTTATTTTAAGGTAAGTAGAGAGTACAGGCCCCATCTTCCAGTGTATTTTTATCTCCAAAGTTTCCTGTGGAACTTGAGAAAGACCCTAAATCTTTCACACACAAAATGTGAATACTAATAATTTGGGGGGAAAAAATAGTATCAGTTTGTTTAATAAAAAATATAATCTCCAATAAAACTTGCCAGACATACACTAACATTATCACAAATGCCTCTCGTATACGTATCTGCTCTTAAACACACTTCAGTTTCTAAACCCACCAAAGGGTGGGCAGAAAAAAATCCCCATACTCCACTTTATAGATATGATGGTCACAATGAATAAATTAATCTAAACGATCCCTTATAGAAAGATAAGGCAGTAAAAATAGTTGAAAGACAACCACTTCTGCTTCGTTAGCCACCATCAAGATAAGGGACAGCATATATGTTGCACTGACATGGTACTGATACGATTCTCAAAAAGCAGCACCTTCCCTGAATACTTGACTCTTAAGTTATAAGAAAACTGCAGAATTTGAAGTTATATAGTATGTAGGTTGTGATGATTTTAAGTGGTTCCTACAGTATTTTGAAGAGAAAGACCATTTGACAAAATTAAGTTGCAGTTTAAGAATTACTATTACTCCTCTATACATGTAATTTATGCTCTTACAAATACATTTATTAATATGTATTTACATTACAGTAAGTGCACTCAATGTATGATAGACCTGGACTGGCAACTGCAAGAACATGATCTCCTGAGAACTGTTGTAGATGAAGTTAAATCTACCTGCCCAGTAGATGTTCCAACAGCCATATTCAAAGCTCCGTCAAATTTCAGTGCTGAAATCGACGGCAAACCATCTATCCTGCAAAGCACAATGCTTACAGTTAGACATTCTTTCAACAAAGGCTGCAATTATTTTTTTCAATCTTAAAACCAGCTAAGCTAATTAATGTAAATTAATTTACAGATATCACTCAGAAATACTTCTTCAAAAAGCTGTATCGTTTACACTCACAACTTGTGGTTGTATAGAAAATTAGGCACTACTACTCGGATCAATAACTAAGAGACCCTTCTATGGCTAAGAAAACCCTGTATTCACACTAGCAACGAGAAGAGAAGACCACAGGCAGGTCATTTTAATGCAAAGTAGGATTTGTTTCTAAAAGCAAAACTTCTGAAAAAACAGGAAAACACACTTTGAAAGAGTAGCCTTTACTCACTCTGTGTCTGCTGTCACACTGCTTAAAGCACAGTCCAACAGCCCAACTCGATTTCTAGTTCTAGGATCCCAGCATTCCACTTTACCCTAAACAGTTTAGAAAATATGTTTCAAGCTCATGCAACAGATGTCTGGCATTCTGAAAATGTTTAAATAAAATTATGAATTATATAATCTATGAAATATTAATCAAATTTCCTAGGTTGACATGAGTTGTTCTAATAATGGCATACAAGTTCCACACATTCCATTTGTATTTTTAAAAAATGTGATCTGAAAGTCATTAACACTAAATTTCCAAAGATTAGTAGGGTACACATGCTAGCTAATTTCTACAGATGGCTATATTGTAAAGCAAGAGAACAGCATTTTCTCTCCCATCTGCAAAATCTCAAGCATCTCAGTAACCAAGGTAGCTCAGAAATTATCATCTGCACTACGATTTAAAAAGTCATCTTGTTTAACAGATCTATACTTAACATGGCAAATGAGATCAAATTAATTAATTAGGTTCCTGTTGTGATTTCTTCTTATCCTCGTGCAAACTAATATAAAAAAAAAGAAACACTACTGCCCTTTTTATAAAAGGAATGCAAACATTTACCTCTGCCGTCCCCATAGCAAACAAGAAGTGTACAGGGTTTATGTCACAGACATTACTCTCTCTAAAACAGAAAAAGGAGCAAGTTTAGTGACTTCAGAATAATTTAACACATGAACAACTAAAAAGATTTCGGTAATCATGCACACTATTGCTCAGTCTGGAAAAGCAAAAGTTCAAGGGAGGGACAGATGGCAACCTAATAGAAGGCTCCCTTACTTAAGAGGAGCTTACCAAGAATTTGAAGCCACCATCAGAGACAGCGATGATTACTTGTAACAGGTAAGGTACCAACTGGACTTAAGGATATTTTTATGCCATGCAGATAATTAAGCATTGGAACAGGTTGCCCATAGAGGCTATGGAATTTCCACCCTTGGAGTTTTCAAGACCCTCTGGGAAAATGTGTCTGAATTTAGTGTAACTGAGCAGGAGGCTGGGCTCTGAGGTTCTTTCCAACCTGAATGATTCTGTGTTTCTCTGCCCATACCCATCATGCCTTTCCTTATCACTCCACTCCACTATATTAAAGAACTCAGTTATGTCAAAAGGTGTCCCTGATTACTTAGGTGTCCCTGATTACTTATGTTCTGAAGCTTACATCTCCAGCATATTCTGATTAACAGTCTGTCTTCCCTTCCCTCCCCCAAGTATCCTGTTTCTCAACAGGGCAGCCAGGAGCACTGTATTTCTCCAGCAATTCTTCCAAAGTACAAATATTTCTCTTTACACCACTCACCCTTGCACCTTCCAACTTCTTCCACTCAAAGCCCTCCAGCTCTAATTCTGTAACTCACCCAATTTTCCTAATCTCACAACTTTTTCACAGCTTCAAGTCTCATCTCCCTAATTCAAGACCCTTAGCATTCCCAGGTTGTTTTCACCCCTGCTCTTTCACCCTGTAATTATGCTTGCCCAAATATTCCTTTGTCCATTAAACTATCCTACCCACTGAGCACCAGCTAGCTGCTTTATCTAGCCAAGTCTGCTCTTCTCATCTGCCTCCCCTCACAGAAAAGCAGCCCAGCTCCTGCTCTGGTAGGGTTTTCAAAAGAATCAGACACACGCCGGAGATATAAAAATTCTTTGGGCTACTCCAAGAGCAAAAGGACAAAGACATGCCTGGGAAAGTACATACCCTGTGGGTAGATCTCTATATGATGGCTAAATTGAGCAATAATGGCAAACTTTTAATGAAATGCTCTTAACATCAAGTTATATAATACCTACTACAAGCCTATATTAAGCAATTTTAAAATATCCACACAAGAAAACTCAATTAAATCATAAAAACTAGAACAAAGCATTACAGAACATAAAATAAAATGAGGCTCAGACTCGGCATATGCTCCTTCTCAACTCTACAATGCGTTTGGGCAGTATTCAGATACAGTACTGACAGTGAGCATGCTAGGAGTTTGCTTCCACCTGGTGGAAAGAAGACAGATACACATCATGCATTACAGACAACTTACGAAGCGTCAGTTTGCAGGGAGTTGAGAAACCGTCCTTGTTCCAGATTTAGCCTGTATACTTCAGAGCTACGAAGGAAAAAATCAAAAATTACTCCTTTCTCTTACGAATACTGAATAATGCTGTTATAAGTCAGGAGGAGTTACAAAGATTCTTGCTGACAGCCTAATTTTACCAATACATAATTTTCAGACTTCACATTCTAAAACATTAAGACATATCTGTCCTTCAGTGTTAAAAAAAACAGAGAAAAATGTGTATGTTCAAAGATATTTATTACACTGAAATATCCTATCAATTACTCTTTTTCCAGGGAAAAGCTGCATTAATTCCTTTCTTAAGATGTTTTCATTTTCTATGATTTACATTACATCTTGAATTGCTACTCACTTTTGTTTGAAACCCTAAAGACCTAATTTTATTTTTCCTATGTCTTCTCACAAACGCAATTATTTTCTGTGATTTCACTCCACTATAACAGCAATAAACCACCAACCAGTACAGAAAAAGTTGTTTAATTTTCCTTACTTAAATGCTAATCACTTTTTAAAACAGTACACTGAACTGCAATTTTTATGAAAAATTTGCAAATACATGATGGTTTAAGAATCAAAGAAGAAAAAAAAGTCTTAAAACAGTCCAGGATACTGAATTAATCTTAGTCTTCTCATGTTTTCCACTCTTCACAAACTGTCTCAATTATTAATTTGGAAGGAATTGCCACTTCTAATTTTTAATTTTTTTTGGTATTTTAACATTCATTTTATTCCTGGAAAACATTGCCAACAAAAGTGAAACAAACAAAATAATCCACTTAATCAATACCTTGCTCCTACAAAATACAGGTCACATGATGGATAGTGATAAGAGAAATCTCTACCAAATTTTGGTATTCTTGTCCTGTAGTAATGGCCGTGTTGCGAATGAAACTCCACAAATCTGCCACACTGCAAGAAGACAATCTGAAAATAAAATAGAAAGAACTGAAACATACAGAAGCAAACAACAACAATCTTCTCAACTTGTCTTACAGCACAAACTCCAGTGATTTTTTTTCAAGCTCACACAGGTTTATCACAACCCATTTAAACCATTTTTTCTAAAATGATGGAATTGACCAGTGCTTCGTCATTCTCACTAGCCACAGTAAAGTGCTTTACTAATAAAGATTAAATGAATATTCACAAGAATATATGCAATACCCTGAAAGTGACTCTGCAACCAGAAGCAGTATAATCATCTTGGTGTTACGCAGCACCAAAATTAACATCTATACTTCTTTCAGATGCCAAAGTTAAAAATTTCTTTCAGGTGCAATGCCAGGCAGACACCAATGGGTTCACAGGTACTAAGCACACATACTATACATCCTGATGCACGGCAGCGTTCCAATAAATGACACCAACAACCTTTGTGTGCTTTTTTTGTTGTTTGCCAACTGAATAAGCACGCTGTTTCTCTCTGAAACTTAGACGAACATTTCAGCCCTGGAAGAGCCCACTAGAACACTAGATCTACCGCAGGCCAGAACCTGTCGCTACAGTCCTGATGGCAAGTTAACATGGCACAACTCACATCCATAAGAAGGAATTCTTCCCACTCCAAACAGAGACAGTATCATCCATGCCATCCATTACATTCATGCTGTACCTCAAACCATGCCCAGGTGCTGTGTGATGGAGGAACAGTTGGCCTGGCCCAAACTCATGCCACGATGCGTGCAATCAATTACATGATATGGATAATCACAGGCTAACTCTTGACTCTGAGCCTCACCTCTATTTAGCTTAAGTTAGAAAAGAGCTAGTTTAGTTTAGAATATGTACAGTCCATGCATCTTCTACAAGCAGTAGATAATAAAGATTTTAAATTTCCTACTGGTGGACTACGTTGTTAGCAATGGAAATACAGACGAGAAGCTCAGGAAAGGTGGAATACAAGTGTTATTTTGAATCTGTCATCTTTATTTACATACCTGTATATTCCTCTCTTATGAGATAGAGAAAGTACTGAACTGGGCTAGTACTCCATGCCTGTTTATCAAGTCCCCCCTCACTTATACTTTTTCTGATACCAGAAACCCTCATGTTTCAACTTTTATTCATGGACTCGCTCACCTTGGTCCAAGACCAAGTAAAGTATCATCTTTGAGAAGCGTAACTATAATTTCATACAAGATTACAGATGCAGCTGCACAGTTGATGTTATACAATCATGTTTTTCATATGCACCCCAATCAATCCTTTGTGTGCCTAATGCATTTATGCTTTTAACTGGAGGTTTACAACAAGCAAAGCGCTTTACTTATCTGTCTGAAACAATGCCCAGATCAAATCTTTTCTCTATCATCACTGCAAAAGAAATGTCTGCATCCTCATGCAGCATAGAAGCTAAATAAACTATGAGAAGAACATAAAATTAAACCATATTTAAATACCAGTATTACATTCTTAGTTCACTACCAGTAATCTATCAAAACCTGTTACCAGGACGAGAGAATATGCAGTTTGCTTTCAATGAGAAAAGTGAATTTTCTTCTCACCCACTCTACCTTCTAGAAGTTTTTAGAAAGTTTTTCATAGTTGCCAAAGCAAGCAAATATTCTGCTAATGATTGCCTTACCTCTAATACTTTTCTATTTTAAGACAAATTTCTACAATATTGAAGATATTTGTGTCCTCTTTCATCAGTAGTGGATACAACTCACCAAAAATCACATTTGTCTTTCCTTCATACTAAATTAACTTTGGTCACTACAACCTCAGGGTAGCAAAAGCAAGCCACTGGCGTGTGGCAAAAATACTAAGCGGAAATACCTGTCTTTTTGCAAAAGGCTGCCAAAAAAAAGATACTCCTCCCTCCTAAGTCTGAAACTTAGCCCATGTCTAAAACTCAGGAGAGCACAGATGTGTAAATGGCCTTACGGATCTCAGCATGAATGAAAGCCAACAGGGTGCTCTCACCATGAAAATGCAAAGAAGCGACCTTATGAGGACAGCAGGAGCAGACTGGATAGAAGCTGTTTTTCCTGCGCTACTGAAGTATGAGGCAGTGTGTCCAGTGTTGGGCCCCCCAATACAAGAGGGATGTTGAAAGCATCAAGAGAGCCACCAAGACAGACAAGGGGCAGAACACAAAACACGCTAAGAAAAGCTGGAAGAATCTTAACATGTTTAGTCAGGCAAAGAGCACCCTGTAGGACAACCTAATAATAGCCAGCAACTGAAGTGCAGTCACAAAAATGGCAGAGTCAAACTCTTTTCAGTAGCAACAGTGAAAATTTCAGATTTTCATGGGCAGGTTGGACACGAAGTAAAAATTCTTTACGGTGAGGCAGTGCAGCACTGCAACAATTTATCCAGTGAATTTGCGGAGCCTCCAAGCTTGCAGTTTTTGACAGTCCTGTTCAAGCATTAAATGACATCTGAAGGTCCCTTTCAATCAATACTGTTATGATTCTAAGCATTTCAAGTGTAATTTCTCAAATATTGTTCCCTCTTTCTAACATGTTCAAAACATTATGACAGCTACCTGAAATATGTTTTCTTTCTAATGATTTGGGAAGTTTTAGGAAAAATAAAATTGAAAATAAGGTTGCATTAAGTTGTGAAAATAGGACTTCAATCTGAAATATAGTACCAATTTCAGCTGAAAACATACACAAGCCTTACTGTTCATAACCCACCAGGAACATATTTGCAAACACAATGCATTCCTCAGTCTCCCAAGTAACTGTTTGGTCCGTACAACCAGAAACATTCTCCCACAGACAGACGAGTGGGAGGCTACTATACTGCAAATTCTTGGAAATCTCGCAGGGGAAAAGTTTTGAAAGGGCTAAAGCTAGAAAGCTAGATGATAATGTCTCTCATTGAATAGCAATATTTATTAAAAAAAAAAAACTGTACCGGAAATGCTAAGATTTCTTCTCAGAAAAAAAGTATTAAAATAAACATGTGACTAAAAAAAAAAAAAAAAAGAAAAAAGCTTGTCCTAATGAAATCAGCAAAAGTATATGCTTAAATTTCATATTTAATTTAGAACATAACACCTTAATCAATCAGCAAAGCAAGCTTACAGAAAGAGGTAACATCTTTTATTACATAAACTGCTGCAGCTGGAGAACACAGATGAGCTTTCAAGCACATAAACACTTTCTAGGTGTTAAATGGAATTGGAAGCAATATTGGGCCTGAAAAAGGGCTGGTGGTACTACGAATTCAACTGTTTCCTCCACGTACGGCACTTCATGAAAAAAAAACAAAAAAAAAACCCAAACCACACAGACATTACTTCTCTCCACAATTTTTGCCTCATTCATACACTTATAATCATCACGGCTACATCGATGCTGACAAATCAGGCTTATCTAGAGCCATCCCACCTCTTGGAAATGGTGTATCTGTGTATCACTCGTCACAAGGGATTGTGACTAAATGTTATCCTAGAAAGCATAACTAATCGCATTTTTCACATTATTTTGTTTGTACGATAGACCATTATTTGAAGTTTTTCTCTACTACAGACAACAGACTTAAAAAGTGGTAAGGCAAATGATAATACAAAGAGACAAAGAAAACAAACAACATTTTGAAGACACAAAAAGTGTTTACCCTGTTTGCTTTTCTAAAAAAACTTTTCTGTTCCAAAAGTTGTGCTGACGCCTTTACTATATATGAAAATGCATTTTAATATACGTATTAAAATTTTTTTCATTTATACATTGAAAACATTAAACGTACCTTTGAGTAATCATCTGATAAAATCTCAAACGTAACCACTAGAGGAGAAAGCAAGAGAATTTTAAGTCACTAAGTAAGCAAACTTATTTGCAAACATTGGCATCAATCCTGAAAACATTTACACTCATGCTAACCTTCAGTCATATAAATATTCCCCACAGGTGTCAATGCATAATGCAGGCATTATGATAAAATCTTTAATTATATAACTTTATTTGCAAAATAGTAAGTAGTTCTCTAAAACTTTAGAAACATATGAAGCATCTTGTAATCTTTTTATCATTCTTGTATACTTGACACGTTCCTCAACACAATGCTCAACCATGTATTTAATTGGCTCAGGGAAGGCCTAATCAAATAGTTTTCAGTGAGTGTGTGGTCCATGGACCTTTAGTAATCCATCAAAGATGACAAAAAAATGACATGAGTTCAGATACACTATGCACAAACCTGCACACATGATCTTTCTAAGGGGTCAGCACTTCCACAGAACGTTTTAAGGCTCAAAAAAATCACAAATTTGAAAGCTGCTATCCATGCTGAGCACTGCAACATATTGAACTTTGCCTAGTTTTAAATGAGCTGGGTTGGGAACATGAGGGAGCAGCTGCTTCAGCTAAATTGGTTCCATTTAAATGAGGTAACTCATTTAAAGTTACCTGAAGTGACTCTACGCTATATTTCAAATTAAACATAGTTTTGCAGTCTAGTAAGATGCCAGTTCAAAAAAAATGTACTTTAAGCTCTAATTACCAGCATGCATTTACTAGTACAATGACTCCTACTCTTTTAAAGCAGGTATTACTCTTGCCACACCTTCCTCTCCCCAGCCTCCCTGAGCCCCTACCCCTACCACATCCCCTCTTACTATGTTGTAGCCCTGTCCCTTCACCCTACATGACTCCTTGTAGTCCTGAGGCACAGTGTAAAGAAACACTACTGTGCTCTAATCCCCTTTTCCTGACCTAATTCAGTAGTTCTCAATTTTTATTTTTCACATCACTTTTAGACACATCACAGTCAGACCAGTTTCATTCTTCTGTAATGATTTAACACTTGTGCCACTCTATGCTCACTCCCTCATTGCTTTGGTCACCCCTGTATCCCAGTTTTCAGCCACCAGTCTTCTAAGAAAAACCAAACCAAACCAAACAAAAAAACCCACACACCATTCTGCAAATCTATGCGCCCTAAAACTCAGAGACACAGCAGCTCTGGCCTCCTCCCCTAGCCTAACTGCCAGCAGATTCTCCCTTTCCCATTGTCTAGATGGCTCCTTGCTTTCCTCACCATAGTTGTTCTCCCTCCAAATTAGTGGCAAACAAGGTGTAATTAGGGCCTTGGCCATGCTACCATCTATCCCCAAGTACCTTGCTTCCAAAAAAACAACCAAACCAACCAACCAAAACCATTCTCAGGGAATTCTCTTTACCCTACAGCTCACCTACTGAGCTTGGGCTCCAGTGGGAAAGCAGTGAGAACTCATTTCAGTAGCGCTGGCGCAACCACGGTGCATTCTCCTACCTTACTGCTCCACAGAAGATGAAAGAAGGGAGAACTGACCACTACCCACACAGCATTCCCCAAGCCAAGCGCAGTCTTCAGCCGCATTCACTCTGAGCCCCGCGCTTACTGTCTCAAGGCAAATCTTATATCCCTCACACTGCTCCAAGAGAGGAAAGAACTTTGAAGGAGGAGGAAAAGGGAAAAATACAGAGATAAAGACTAGGTGACATTTTACTCTAGACTCTTGTGTTCCCCCAAAGCACATTCCGTCCCCTCAGCACAGGGAGGGAAATTTCTGCTTGAGTCCAACGTGAATTATATATGAAAGATACCTTGTATTAACAGCCAGACCTTATACTAACCTTCGGAATCTAAGCATCTTTCAAATTTCTGGGACAACTGATATGTATCAAAACAGCGGATCCTTGGCTTATAAGTTCCTGAAAGAACAATTTGATCTTTAATAAAAACAATAAACAAAAAGATAACATTAGAGCTTTTTTTTTTTTTTTCATATAATGTCTTTCACATATAGGCTTTACTGCATTTCAGCTGTAAGTATTCTGATCTTACCAAAGTCTTTGTGACTGGAAAAACATGTCTCTTAGTAACATAACCTTATGGCCTGGTTTTTGTCTTTGGTGCTCCCTGCTTGTATGTAGGTTCTTCTGATTACCAGATACATCACAGAGAATTTAATACTTTCCAGTAAGTCTGAAAGACCAAGTCTCTTTATGCTATTAATACCTACTAAAGCACTCGTGTTTGGATCCTGCTTTGACAGTTACAAAATCATAGAATCATTTAGGTTGGAAAAGACCTTTAAGATCATCAAGTCCAACAGTTAACCTAATCCTGCCATTCCACCACTAAACCCTGGCCCTAAGCATGTTGTCTGCCCAGCTTTTAAATCCCTCCAGGGATGGGAACTCAACCACTTCCCTGGGCAGCCTGTTCCAATGCTTGACAACCCTTTTGGTTAAGACATTTTTCCTAATGTCCAATCTAAACTTCCACTGGCACAACTTGAGGCCATTTCCTCTCATCCTATCACTTGTTACTCGGGAGAAGAGACTGACACCCACCTGGCTAAAACCTCCTTTCAGGGAGTTGTAGAGGGCAATAAGGTCTCCCCTCAGAACGTATGTAAAAGTAGCATTATCCTCCAGCATTTAAAACAATACTCAAACAACGATGTTCAGAAGTTATTTAAAGCAAATCTATGTCCATGTGATAAATATAATTAAGAACTTAGTTTTTAACTGTTTTACAAATAGTTTTGTTTTTATTTGTATTATAAACCCCCAGTGGCAGGGGGGTTGGACTAGATGATCGTCAAAGGTCCCTTCCAACCCAAACCGTTCTATGACTCTAAGAATATCTGTATTGTAAAAAGAAGTTCTTCACAATACCACTACCAAGACAGCCACTCTATCACATCTTAAGAGTAAACTTCCAAAACTCTATTCAATGCTGCATTTAAAAATGAACTCTTATCAATTCCACCTGAAATACCAAGCCATACTGCAATCAAGATTTTCTAGCACTTTTGGCCTCTGCTAGAGAGAGACACTTTGTTAACTCACCAACTGCCATAATATACTGTCCATCTCGTGATACCTTAATCTTCGTGCTAACTGTTGGCATTTCAAAGTCTTGAATGAGTTCAATCCTTCTACGGATATCTACAAAAAAATAAAATAATTTTTTAAAGGTTGCACTATTATATCAGCCCAAAAAAATGTAACAGTTTCTTACAGATGCATGTTAGTTATATACAGGGAATATCCTTTTAAGATCTTTTAAAATATAAAGATCTTTTAAGTATAATTAACACATGTTATAAGCAGATTAATACAGTCTGTTAAGCCAGACATGCAGGCTACCTCCACACAAAATAAATGCTTGATCTGAGGTGGTCACTATGTAACAAATTATTATATAAATGTAGCAGCAAATGTTTAACGCATGTTTTACACAACTAAGATGCTGTACAATATATTCCATCCTCCTGTTAACTTTACCCAGTTTTGGTTGGTTGAGGTTTTTGCACAACCCTTCTTATGATATGTAAATAGCCATATTTTATTTTGGATAAAAAGTTTAGGCTAAAATTATGATGTTCTTGCACTCTAAGATGAGCATAATACACACAGGAGTTTATAGCTAGACTTTATGTAATAAGCTACACACGGAATTCATCCATCATGCTCCTGTACAATCTGCAACCCCAATATTTAATGCCTGAATGTAAAGCAATTTTGGCACTATTCTGTTTATATAAAACGGTGTAGAAAGTTGAAGTATGGCCTTCCAAACATTAACTATTTATAGCTTTAATTCTGTAGTTTTTAAAACATGAGCTAAGGATAACTTCCTTGCATCAGGTAGTGAAGTGTCTCCTTCTGGACCAGGATGCTGTATGCGTGCAGCCGAGTACTACTGAGGGCCCTGTGACGGCAAAACTCACCCACATCTTTCTTCTGCAAAGCTCTTTTCTTCCTGTCTGAAAGCCACTGTAAGAAAATACATAAATCAGTCCTGAGCTTGTTACACGTGAAGGAACCCAAGAATCGCTTAAAGTTCATCCGATTTGAAAGTATAAGAAATTTAGGCCATTAGTTCTTTGCCTCTTGAGTATTTTAAAATTTCCACTGGTAAGTTTAGCCATTCCACGCCACGAAAACTTGAACAACAGCGGGGTTTAAGGGTCTGTGGAATCACCCCCCGACAGTTCGAGATGTGCCCATTCCACCTGCGGTTGTAGTGAGAAAACGCTCGTGGCTTCAGTTAACGACCCCCA